GGCTGGTGTTGATACGACCCTGTGTGTGTTCCTTGTGTCACGATACTGTCTGCTTACAGTTAAACTGGCAGGTAAATTAAGCAGACTTTGTAACTCAAAGGCTGCATTTTGAAATCAAGTCCTTCAACTTTAAGATGGGGATGCATAAAAAAAAAAAAATAAATCTCATTTTAGTCCTCTTCTAAGGCCACTAATTTCACTTTAATGACAGGCTCCAATTGAAAGGAAAGCATCAAACTCATGAGAATTTAAAATGACGACGAAGCTAACCATCTCTTGTGTGGGATGTTTAATCCCTCCACACGTGCCAACACCAGAGACAAGCCCTCCTTTCCTCTTATATTCATATCATGCAAAGATTTCACCTCAAAGTAATTATTACTTGTTTAGGCGATACGTACGCAGGGCGCTGCGTACGGAACTGGACGTCACCAATACCTCGCTCGCAGGGACTTTTTTCCACGTGATCCCGTGCCTATCAGTAAATTTGAATTCATAATCTTTTATTCTGTGTCTCTTCCAGGGTGGTTCACACCTTTCCCTTCCTGCTCCCCGAAAAGGTACATCCCGGGCAACCGACCGCCACGTTAACAGGCTCCAGGCAGGGCGAAGGGGAAGCCGGTCGTTTCAAAAAGGAACGCAAGATTTATGAAGCAGCTGCATCCCGCGCAACGGACTTCCCCGTTAACACAAACCAGGCAAGGCAAAGGGGAAGCTGGTTGTTTCAAAAAGAAACTGAAAATTTACAAAGCAGCTGCCAATTAGCCAGACCTTACTTTTGCAAATTTATTTAGGAAAAAAAAATTAACATGAGCAAATGAGAATACTTCAGTGTTACAACAGAGTATATAAATGTCTAGCAATAGTCAAATAATTTGATCTTTAAATACAAAATAACCACATGAACACCTAATGTACAGGTTTCATCTGAATACATATTTATTAGATAAATATTAGGTTGTCACATCATCTAACTACATACAGTTTTGCAAGACTAAAAATCACAATTATTTTTTCTGACCAGTTTAAAGTATGAAATGATTGCATTGTACTGTACATACAATGTACAAACAAAGACAATGGCCATTTTTGCATGTAATTTCAGATTGTACTTCTTTTTTTTTTTTTAATTCTCCTCTGATCGTGATATCAAAAATTGTACAAAGTATGAATTTGGTTACAATTTTTTTCAATCCCCTTATTTTTCTTCATTATTTCTGTAGCACCCTAAAAATACACAGGTGATAGACTAGTACACGTAAGCTAAATATTACATGTAGATAAAACAAAACAAAAGATCAGAGTATATTACAGAAGTGAAAGTGAAACAAATGCTGAGACTCCACAAACGCTAACAAACAGGATTCATTTTCCACATAAGATGGAGCTTCAAGCTTTTTTTTCCTGCGAAATAAAAACAATGCACATTCCAAGGAAAATGAATGCATTTCTGTTAACATGTCTCTATTTGTCATTTACATATGTACAGCTGTCCCTTGAGTCTCCGCTGCAGACATTGGCGTCTATCTGTCAGTCCTAAATAATGTCTTGGCAGCAGAACTGTAGATCTCTGTGGGTTCTTTCCCAGATGAACTTCCATAGGGAAACAATTAAAAAGTAAACAAACCAAAAAAGAAGAATAAAAATACTACTGGAATTTCATATAATAATTAAGCTTTAAAAGAAATGACTGTGATTACCCTATTTGCTAGGTTTTTTTCTCTAAACTTTAATACGGCAGTGAACAGATAAAAAAATAACTAAATTTTCATTTAGAAGCTTTTTCATACTGACTCCGCTATACAGTACCTGATTTTAGCTGACAGGTAAGTTTTGAAACTGTCTCAAATGTCCAACATTTGGGTGATGGGTAAAAATCTTAATTTCTCTCTTGAGTTCTGCTTAGAAACCAAACGTTTCTGTAAGCTTAAAAATGTCAACCGTCCACTTTAGTTCTCGATTACTGTACAACGCAGATGCAAACACTGCTCCAAACATATTGCTAATATCTATGGGTTTTTTTCCCTTTATGCTTTCCAACAGGTACTTTTAAATGATACGTTTTAAATACTACCAGTTAGCAAAAGGTCAATCCTTAACATACCTCGTTTAAAATACTAATGTTGTGTTTAAGAGAAAAATCATTTCGGGTGACTAACTTAGCTGCTCAGGAATCAATGGAGGGTGGAACATTAAATAGACTCAATTAAAAAAATCTGAGCAACCAGTTCCAACTAATAGCGAGAAATCTTCTTTATTCCCAAACCTATGGCTTAAGAACCTTCCCCCCCAAACAAAAAACCCAAACTCTAAGGGCGTAAAGTCAGTTCATCATTAGCCACCCCTGCCAATGACTTCAATACCTACATAAACAATGCAGCAAAAATACAGGGGGAAACTACTACAGCAAAACGGCTACAAAGCACATCTGTAACTGAAGAACGGTCTTTCCTAGGAGTTGTGTGATAGCAGCACCACACCACAACCATATTACCGTGTATTACACCAAGGTATCTTTAATATTCTGCAGAGATCCTCTGCAGGTTGTCACGCCTACGTAAGAAAAAAGACACTTCTAAGCAGAATAAAATATACTATACTGTTTCCCTCCCCCACCCACCAACCTCCCTAAGTGTTACTGTGCCCCAGGTTCAGAGACCGGAGCACCAGTATAGCGATATAAATATGGTACCTTACATACTTGCTGCTTGCCTCAGTGCATCTTTACCTGCTCAGACAGCTGGTCCTAGGTGTCCTGCTCACTTGGGCAAACGAACACAACCTCTGCCATTACCAGCCCACAATCACCCACAGACAATGAACATCCATCGCTTAGTCGTTTGTTTTTTTTTTTCTTTTGCCCTAGGCAATCACTTATTATGATGTTTCCACGACAGAGCTGGGCTCTGATTGTCCAGGTACTGCCTGATGTATCAATTCATTCATCACACAAATGGATATGAAATTTGGGCTAATTTATCAAAAGAAAAGGGAGGGGGGGGGGGGAAAAAAAAAAAAGGGGGGGGAGGAAAAAAAAACAACAGAACTCCCTTATTCTGTTAAAGAACCCTCAATTTTCTTTTTTAAAAAAGGACCCATATTTTTCTTCAGACAAGGTATTTAAAAACACCAGCAAAAGTATAACCAGATCATGAAAATGTTGAATATTATCAAAGACGATACTAAAATATTCACAAAGATATTTACAATAGCAATTCTTAAAATAATTGATTTTGCATAATGAACAGCGCCTTTCTTAAAAAAACTTGAAACAGGAAAAATATAAGTGTGGGACCATCTCTACATAATATGTTTGACAGATTCAATACTCCTACTGGAAAATAAAAGAACTAAACCGCCACTTCCTTTAATATCTACAGCAAGGTGCTGCTGACTAGCATATATATATCATGACGCATGTACAGCAGTAGTAGGAAACGTTAACAAAAAGAGCAAAATAAAACAAAAACCGCAAAGAATTTACAAATATGACTTTGGTGAGGAAAGCAAATCCAGAGTCGTAAGCACAGAGCATGCCATTTACAGCATTGCAAACTAAACACAGAGGGCTAGGAAGCTATCTACTCAAACCGACAGGAACAAACAAAATTTTGCCTGGCACTTCAGTTTAAAACATATTGCGGTGAGCAAACAAAGGGCGTTTGATTGGATCTGGGAGGAGGAAAAGGAGTAGGGTCGCATTTGCTTTAGTAACAAAAAGAAACGAAACCAATAACTGTACAGTGGGCAAAAGCTGAAATGTTGCACCACGAGGGCAAAGTTGGCACACATGCACTTCTTACACAGCTACTGTACATCATTTATAAGAGAGAGAAAGAGAGAGAGACAAAGAGCACAGAAATGGGCACGGAAGCAATAGGAAGCTCATGCAGGAGCAGCAACCACACGAGAAGCACAGACCACAGGGGCAAGACAGTGATTGTGGCAGCAGGGTCTCTTGAGGGCAGTAGCAATCTGCTGACAGTTACTTATTCTCCCCATGCCCGGTCCTTCAGGAGAAAGAGCTCATCCCGGCAGCCAAAGTTTAAAAAAAGAAACTGAAGGAGGGAAAAAGAAAAAGGCTGAATTATCTGTAACAGTCACAAAAACGGAATGCAAAGCAAAACAAAAATGAAGCTGTAAGATGTCTGTCCAATGTCAATGCCCCTTCTCAAGCCGGTTATTAAAAATAATTACGCAGATAGTGATGTTACTCTCCCTCCATCCTGCAGTGACTTCCTGGCTGCCTTCAACCCAGCTCGTCTTACTATGGATTGTGCAGTACAGGCAGTGACACGAACGCTCGGGGCACCGAAGGCCGTAGGTGACAATCAGGAACAGTTTGGTTTGCATCCCCCCTCCCTCTCTCTTCCATTCCGTATGGCATACATGGCAAACAGATCTATTACAGCGATCTCAACAGCTGGATGTTAATGCAGCCACAAGCAGTACTGATTTGAAACCAAAACCACAAAAAAAATCCCTAAACATTGCAAACATTTTTTTTTTTTTTATTTTTCCTGGGTGTTTCCAATCTGCATGTTTGGCCAGAGGAATCCTCTGCAAAGAGGTGGTTAAGATTCCTGCGCTTGCAAGAAATACCAACAGCCACGGCTGCAGCCTGGAGATTCTCAGGACTCCCTTACTGAAGTCGCATTCGCTAAACTGCTGGCTCCCTCTGACGGGCCTGTCTGTCTTCCCTATGTTTGCCACTTGACTGTAGGATTTGTGCTTTTTTGAGCTTTGTACGTGTTTTTGTTTTTCTTTTTGTGTGTGGCCAGGACAATCGCTCCAACGCAAACCTGTGGTTGGAGGGGGGCAGAGGGAAGGTGGGGTGGAGGGAGATACAGTTTCAAAAAAATGGAAGAACACACGTTGGAAGGACACTCTGAGATGGGTCAGTTAAAGACAGTTCCATTTTGTTGCCTTTTCTTCCCTTGCCAAGATTCATTTTTGCCAAGATACTTCACACTATGGTTATCACAGAACTCTCTCTCTCGAGGATGAACAACGAATGGGCTTTCCAACAGCTGCACAACTGTCTATGCTGCTTTGTCACGTGTAGCACGGCAGACTCGGAGATTACTGCATTTATTTATTTTTTGTGTTTTTTTTTTCTCCCGTCACTTTCGCAGTCTTTGAAGCTGACAAAAGCAGTTCTGAGATGAAGAAAGCAGGGAGTGCACCATTCGATCAAGTTGTGAGTTTTTTTTTTTTTTCTTCTCTTGTGGAAAAGGAGTGTTAAAGATTCCTCGCTGTGCAGCCACACACATGTGAACAAGTGAAAGGGATGGGAGAATACATATGGTTTCAGTTGTTCTCAAAGAGAGACAGAAGGTCATCATTGCTATTGCTTGGCAAATCAGGAGGATCCAGGTATGAAAGCAGCTCATCTGGATTTGTGAGTTCTGGAAGCAGCTATAAAATATAAAGATAAAAGGAAAATTACGGATAACAGAAACACAATTGAGAAAAAAAAGGGATTAAACACCACACATCCCTGGAAACTGGCTTTCCTATGTTTAGATCCAAATATATCACAAGGCAGCGACACAAACCTAACACCCTAAGATGATGTAGCATCCACTTGTTTGTGAAAGTCTGTATTGCTCGGTTTTCACCGGTGAATTACATTACCATCTCAGTTGGGGTTTCTCAGTCAACCTCCCCATCACACAGTTCATCAATAAACAAAGTGTATTTCCCGGCTAGTGATGCTGACAAAAACTTCTCCATAAACGCTCGTTATGTATGTTAGTTTCACATAAAACACTGAATAAAAACTTGAAATGTACAGTTTGAGTAATACATATTTCAGCTTTAAGGTAGATCAACAAAGACTGGTCTCTACCTGACTCGCACATGTCAGCGCGATGATCACCCGAAGCCCTCGCCCCTCAGCCCCCCACCGACGCCCCTCTGTGCTGATGTAAGCGCTGGGGCAGGGAGCTCACCCAGGGTTAAAACTAGCCCAGAAAGAGAAAAAAAAAAAAAAAAAAAAAAAAAAAAAAAAAAGAGGAAAAACCCAACTGAGGAGGAGTATGGGGAGAGGAGCGGCAAGGCAGGTGGGCGAGTCTTTTCCTTTCTGCGGCAGTGAGTTTACGGTGGCTGGGAGTACTTACTCAACTACAGCATTACATCCAACTGCAGGCATTTTAAAGTGCCAGGGGCAGAACACCCCATCCAACAGAAGACGCACTGATCTCCACAACATTTTAAAGTCTCAAAAGGAATAGCTGTGGGGGTTTTATTTACATTTTTATTAATACCATGTTTCAAATAGAAAATTTTGGTTTTCCAAACATCACCCAGATTCTTTTTGATCTGACAGGTAACAAGCAAATTGTAACTCCTGGGTTGTGTACCAGGCCATGTTTTCTGCTTTATTCTGCATCTCGCCATATCTGAGTCAAAAGTAAAAGTGTCATATATAAAAAATGGCAGGGAAGAGTTTGTAATAAACTCCCTTTATATTCAGTGTTGTGTTAAAGCAAAGACAGTAAAATATGGACTGCTTTAACAAACTTAACAGTAGGTACGAGAAATTCATTTTAAGTTGTTCTATGTTTTCAAATACTAAAAAACTAAAAGCTTGACTGCATCACATTTAGCATGCAAATGTATTTGTATGCTTCTATTACTCCTGTGCAAATGCAGCTTCATCTTCTAATGTTATATGGATGAACATATTTTTCAATAAGCTAAACATGAAATGCAGAAAGAAGTTTATTACTTCCTAAGGATTTTGAAAAAAATGCAATGTCAAGTTTACAAACAGTCTCCCAGAAGGAATGCTTTTCTTAAAATACTGCCTCGTTTTATTCATGGTAAAAATGCTATTGTCATAGTGCTACACTGAAGATATAAGGCTTTTAAATGTATTTCACCTGCTAGCATAATTTTTATGAATACCTAGTACAGAAGCCCAAAAGAAAACTGTGGCCCCACCAAACGTGTAGAAAGTAAAAAATGATTGAATTTGTCCTACGATTTTACAACTCAATCCTTAAAAATTTAACATAACGTCTCTGAGAGTCATTCTTGTGTACGGGGGATTTAAAAATCTTTTTTTTTTTTTTTTTTTTTTTTTTTTTTTTACAACGGTGAAGATGAAGTCCTGAGTTTTGAGGGTGACCTCAGCTTGCCTGGGTCAGAGGGGCCAGGCAGCACAGCCTGCCTCCTGCCCAGCTGGTGTGAAAACCAGAGGCCTCAGAACGGACTTGCTGGGCACTGAGGGTGCTGTGCTGGAGCAGAGGTAGGAGACAGGGGAGCGCCAGGGGCTGCGAGACGCGATGGGGGACGCAGGCAGAAGCTACGGGAATGCGCTAGCCTTAGGGGCAGAATTTGGAGAGATGCACCCAGTGCTCCTGAAGTGAATGCGCGAGAGGTCTAACCAGCCATTTGAGTCTTATGCCTCTGCTGTCTGAGGTCCAAGTGCAGATCACCTCTATCTATATCTGTATCCACGCGAGGTATATCCTTTAACCCAGGTTGAACCTTAGCCTGCATCACACTGAAGTCCTAAAGAATTAATGTGACTGTGTCAGCAGGGAGCGGACCAAGTTGCCCATGGTACTGTCCCGTTTGGTTTGCTGCATGGGACTTTATTCAGTCTGGTTCCACAACACAGCCACTGAAAATTAAACCCATTAAAATAATCCATCTGATCATGATTGAGCTCACAGGTATTTCAAAGAACTATATTCCACACACTGTATAGCACTAGCCTTCTCATTTAGCTAAGATAATTTCAGCCTCCCATTAAGAATCCAGCACGCCTCCATCTGTGGTAACTATGTACTGGGATAAATGTACAGGTTTTTCTGCTTTTCTTTTCACTGAGAAATGAGTGCCTGACCCGTAACAGCATACTTTACGTCGCTTAAATATTTGAAGAAAAAAAATGACATTTTTATTTCACCTATTAATATTGTTCATACAGGGTCCTTAAGGGTGCAGAACTCTAATTGCCACATGAACTATCGTTCCCAAAGGATGTGCGTGTGACTGTGTTGTGTGAAACAGCAGCAGTCTGGTTCAGATAGAAGTTACTCCACTGAGCACTGCTCCTGTAACTGGAGCATCCATCCCTCCCCTAACTCCTTCCCTCCCCTCTGTGATGCTACCTGCCGCGACAGTGCTCGTGTGTGACAGGGAAGACGTAAGTATACAACAACAGCAAATACAGATATAAATCCGAGGCACAGAGGTGAACATTTCTCTAAGAAAATGACACTGTGCAGCAGCAGACTTTGGAACAGACAGAAGATACACATACGGGAACGCACGACTCAAACGAAAATCCAATCCTAGTGCTAAGGAATTTCTGTTTCGGGAGGTCGGTGGTTAACCGGAGAGATACCTCAGATAATTCACTTCCGACTCCACTGAATGGATGGTAAGAGGCAGAAGATTACTTTTGGCCTTAAAACTAGGTTTATCTTTGCTTAGTTGTGAGCTGCCTCCCACAGTGGCTAAGGAGGCAGAAGACGTCCTTGTTGTTTATTTTCCTATGTGGCGTACCAGGAGGAAGAACTTGCGCTGCTGAGCTACCCGCACGAGCAGGTATGGATGGGCACCGCCTGTCTTTGGCTGCAGGGAGCAGGGACAGTGCCACGGGGTGGGCCAGCACAGGTCCCCTCCCACTGGCCAGGGCACGCTGCAGGGCTCAGCGCGCAGCTCGCCAGGCACAGCTCCGCTACAGTCAGAACCACACACAGCTGCGTCCTTCCTCTTATTCAGGCACTGTGATGGCGTCAGGGTCTAGATGAGCACACGGGAGCTCCCGTCCAGCCACGAGGGGGAAGGAAGGAGATGGCTCCCAGCCTGGTGCCTGAACTGCCGTCTGAAGAAATGCCTGCCTTGGTGCTAGGAAGAGGCTATGGCTCCCCCCCCCCCCCCTCCCAGCAAGCCAGGAGCACCCTGTCGCCTCGGCTGCAGCACCTGCGCCCATGTACCAAAGCATGAAAGGATGGCATGTGCTGTGGAAGCGGCTCCCCGTCCCCGCGCCCTCCCCGCCCTCCCGCCGCGATGCGAAGCACACGCTATGGCAGGCAGATGATAGTATGACACAGACTTACATCCAGCGAGGGCTCCGGCATGTCGGGTGCTCCCTGTCCACCAGCCTGACCCTCTAAGGCTGAGGAGGGATTAAAGGTCAGGTCACTGTGTGGATGGTTGCTAGAAGCGGCCGGGGGCGGCTGCCGGGACTGCTGGGTAGGAGGCCCGCTGTGATGTAATGGCTGCCCTGACTGGCTGCTGGGGTGAGGGACGTGCAAACCTTGCTGCATGGAAGTATGGGACTGATCAGTGCTGCCGGGATGAGGGATCTGCGGAGGAGGAAAAAAGCAGGAAAAGAAAGTGAGGCCACAAGGTACAGTGCTCGCGGTGCCTGACTCTGTAACCGCATGTTACAAAAAGAAATAACTTAAGTAAATTAAAAACAAGACACACACAACAACAAAACAAAAAGAACTCAAAACAAAACAAAAAAAGAAATAAAAAAGCGCAATTGGAAAAGAAAACTCCATATCCCAATGCCGGAGGAAGTGTTTCAGCTTTTTGAAGGTTATCTGCAAGGGGGAGATAAACACATTGGATTTGTGCTGTTGGTTTGCTTCCTTGTGATGTGGGAAACTGCGCTTGAAGATGCAAAACAATGAACCCCAAAGAGGAGGGAAGGAGGCTTCTGGGTGCTGCTCAACATTAGCAAGGCAGATGCTTTTGCCCTAAAAAATTCCATGAATGAATGGAGAATTTGTTGAATAACGATCCCTACGCCAGGAAACTTATTAACCGAGGAAATGCATCATTTCTGCTCAGCTGCCTTCTTGGGTAGCTTCCTGACACCGCTGCCTATTCGTGTTTCAGCTCATTACAAACACCTTGCAAACACCAGCCCTTCCCCGCTTCTCCCCTCCTTTTCTTTTCAGAATGCAACAACTTTTCAGTGTTGCATTCGGCCTTTTAAGGGCTGAAGAGTTTCCTCGCTGATATCCATGGGTTCTGATGGTTGACAAAAAACCCAAGTGGGCTCAGCTAGCGAGCTGCCCACCCATCAGCAGAGCTGCTGTAGGTGGCTGCATACCTGCCCACTGCAAAGTACAATGCACTAGCTTAAACTAAGCTCATGATCACACCTCTGTTTTGTATTCACGCCGTGGATAAGTTCTCTAGCAGAAGCTTAGTATGTTTTATGTTTTCCGTGGGGAATAAACTATCAAATCACACGCATCTTCCACACCCTATTATGGAAGAACAGGGGAAAAGTCTTTCTCACATGACAGAGAAGCAACAAAAATGCACAAGCCCAATTCTTCCTTCTGCTGCACGTCACATTTAACGCTAGTGGATTCTTTGGGGCTTGACCTTGGTGCCATGATAAAGAAGCGTCTGAATGCTTCAGAATCAGATGTCTCATGTTAATTGGGTATATGGAGAAGCAAAAAATGTAAACATTTTTTGAGGAATGCTACATATTGCCACAAAGTGGAGCTGAAATAAAAGAACAGATACATACAACAACAGCATGAAATTCATCCAGCCAAGCCAACAGAAACCAGCAAAATGCTATGTCAGCATTGACCCTTTCATATCACGGTAAACTGCAAAGTTATTTTAACCTTAGTTTTCAGTTTTGGAAAGCAAAAGGGAGGTTATTACAAAACTTAATTAAAATGTTCCCACAAAATTTTAAAAAATTACAGAAACAAGCATTTAAAAAAATACATTTCACCACTCGTATGAAAACTGAAACCTGAATACTGATCGATTGGGACAGTCATACTCAGCTACACGGAGGCCCTTTTCAGTACTTTGGTAGTACGAAGGCTGGTGGAAACAAGCAGGATTCTATCTGCAACACTACACTTGGGCCTCTTTCCCATATGAGAGTTTAAAGTAACTGTTTAAAAGTACTGATATACACTCTTCTCTCCATTAGGGTCACAGTTTGACTACTCAAAACGTATTCTGCAACATTATTGTTGTTACCTTAGGGGCTAACTTGTACAAAATCTGCCCACAGACCACACCTTAATGTAAATGCATCTGCAGCCTGAAAACTTTGCAAAAGTCCAAGTGAAAGTAGATGTCTACTCAAATAGTACTGTTTCCTTCTTCATTCATTGAGGACACGTGCAACAGAAAAGTGTGGAAATTAAGAAAGCTTAATAATAACAAAAAGTAAAAAGCAATTTAAGACAGCGTTGCTGAAGTAGGAAAGCAGTTTCCGGAAAAAAACAGAACAAAACAGGATTATCTCGAATAGTCTCTTAAACTTATCCCTGAACGCACAAAAGAAGAGTCATACTGGCATGTTTGTATCACTAATTATTTAAACCAAGAGGCATTCATATGTTCTCAGACATATTTCAAAACAAACAAGCAGGTTAGAAATTCTACATTATGTTTATATAGGCAAGCATTTTATATATATAAATATTTAGTTGATAAGGCAGTATCTTGGGCCCTGAGATAACTGTTGGATAGGGAGTAAGTGTACACTGTAAGACTGAGGGCCACCATAACCTTAAACAGCCATCGCAGGTTCAAAATCCATCTGACAGGCCACAGACTCCACCAGCTTACCTGTGAGAAAGCAAAATGCTCAGGACTTCAATACTTTTCTGTTTGCATTCAGCTAACTAACGATAAGTCTGCCGTGGTGCAAAAACGCTCTAAGCAATACACTTTGTGTATGTTCAGCTTGGGTCTGCAACTCCTATAATTTTATTTTAAAAACACTAACCCACACTACCAACACAGAGTCTAACAAAGTTGCCTTTGCTTACATAGCAAGGTAATTGCAGAGCTGGTTTCAGAAGCATAAACTTTGGCACTCTTAAAATATTTACAATCTATAGAAGAAAAGCTTATAGCAGACACAACTACATCTTCAGCTTAATAGCACAAAACAACACACCTCTTTACGAGCCCAACAGTGACCCCCCCCCCAGGAGTGCCGAGATGCATAGCTGCAGAGCAACGGGACCTGCCAGCTGCAAAACAATATCCCTTTCATCTCAGGAGAAAATTGATAGTGAAAAAAAAGATCAGCAGGTTAAGTCGATAGTTTATATCTCTCTCCATTACTGAGGTCATAGTTTTACCAACTCTTTTCCTGGGTTAGCCGGCAGAACCACTGAAAGATGCTATCCTGCCCTGCTGCTGTTCTTGGCCACTTTTCCCGTCCATGCCTTTGTCATCGGGTGCATCCTCGCAGGCATGGCAGTGAACTGACATGGATCAAAGCTAAACTTCCCCCCCCCCCCCCTTGTTTTAATTCCCCACCG